GAAAGGAAACCAAGCTTCTCATCGCGGCTGACAAAACAACGAACTTTTACAAACTGGAACCGTCAACATACAACACCCTACTTGAACAAAACATCAGCAATTCCGACAAAAAAGCACAACCCGATATCACAAGCGCCATCCATTCAGAAAACAAAAGCATCGCTACAAAACTTGGCATCGATGACAGGTTTGACACCATAGCTAACAAAGACGCATTCGTAGCACTGAAAGACAATAAACTCAACTTCGCTAACAGACTGACCCGCCGACTAATCAACCCCACCAAATCCGAGATGGGCAGAATCAGCAAAACAATCCTTAACAGAATCAACAGCAAAATCACGAGAGCATCTAAATGCAACCAATGGAAAAGCACGGTATCCGTGATCGAGTGGTTCAAAGCCATAAAAAACAAACAACACAACAGTTTTATTTGCTTTGACATTGAGAAATTCTACCCCTCCATTAGCCAAGACCTCCTAAACAGAGCATTCGACTTCGCCTCAGCCTACGACAGCAGCACCCACGACGAAAGAAACATCATCCTACACGCAAAAAACTCTATCCTTATGCATAAACAACAACCTTGGCAAAAGAAGGGCGACACAACATTCGACGTCATAATGGGCAGCTTCGTAGCGCCGAAACATACGTGTTAGTGGGAAATTTCCTTCTTTCCCAACTGCAAAACCTTGACATTAACATCGGGCTTTACCGAAAAGACGGACTAGCCATTTCCAACGGCTCACGGAGGAAAAATGAAAACATAAAAAAAAAACAAATATGCTACATCTTTTAATCACAATGGGTTACGGATCAGCATCGAAGCCAACAAACAGACCATCAACTTCCTAGACGTCACCCTTAACCTGAATAAAAACACCTGCCAGCCTTTCACAAGGCCCAACACCACGCTACAATACGTCCACTGCGAAAGTAACCAAACACCAAACACCAAAAAGAACCTACCCGCCGGCATCAACAAACAACAGTCATCCCTTTCATCCGACAAATCATCCTTCGACCAAGCCGCCCTCCTTACAACCTCCCTTTCAGCAAAAACGTCAGCACCAATATCGGACACAGACTCCTTACCCTAGTAGACAAGTACTTCCCCAAAGACTACAATCTCAGAAAAATCTTAACCGAAATACGATCAAGATCAGTTACAGCTGCATGAACAACCCCTAAGCGATCATCGGCATTCACAAGAAAAGCGTTTTAAATTCACCCCAACACAGCGGCGACACCGCAGGTAGCACCAATACAAAAGAAAACAAAACTTGCAACTGCAAGAAAAGAACACTTGCCCACTTAACAGAGACTGCCTCCAAACATCAGTAGTCTACCAAGCGACCATCACACGCAAGGACAACAACACTACTGAAACATACATCGGACTCACAGAAAACGACTTTCAAACTACATACAGAAACCATACCGCATCTTTCCGACAAATAAAACAAAGAAACTCTACCGAACTCAGCAAACCAAACACATCTGGACTCTCAAAGAAAGTAACGTCCACTTTATTTCGTGGTGCATCCTTTCATCTAGATCACCCTACAACAAGGCTAATAAAAGATGCAACCTCTGCCTAAAAAGAAAAATTACTTATCATCTGTCTACCTGAATTATCATCACTCATTAAACCCAATGAACTTGTGTCCTCACGCCGCCACAGAAACAAAGTATGACTGCGCAATAACTGAACAAAGCACTTAATTCACCGCCACGCCTCGCACAAATTTTTAAAGTATATAAACGATGGCAATGAATATTCTTGTCAATGAAATCCCCTGATGAGTGAGCAATCACGAAACAGGCTTGTCGGGATAAAAATGTAGTTGTCGTATTTTTCTATTCACCATATATTGCGCTCTACTTTTATGTATCGAGCACTGTTATACGGGAAAATCGAAACATATACTTCCTATTTTTAACTCTTTATATGTAATTATTTCGATTTAGAAAAATACAACATGTTTCATATAAACATGTATTTATATTTAATTTTCCTTTTAACAGGGGTTAGTACGCTTAATTCTAAAGTAAAGTGTTATCATGGTAAGGCTTACCCAGCTGAAGTGGTTCCCTAACCAAATCTTGTTTTTTGTTCTCCAAGAGACCTATACAGAGAGTTTTGATGGCTACATTCCAATTTTATCAATTGGCTTTTTGAAGGTAAATTGTAAAGAATATTTTTAATAGAAGACAATATGTCTTATTATTTTGTTTCTATTATTTTTATAATAAAACTGCCGCTAGACCAGTACAATTT